ATGTTCTTTAACATGCCATTCCATGACCTACATTGTCCTGCCAGATGCTCACAAGTCAGTGTTTCTTCAAAAACCCAACAAATGCACATGCAGTAGGTGCAGTTTTTGCCACACAAGGGAAATGTTATTTTTGCCACTTCAGGCACAGTACCGAGACCTCAGGTGACATGACATTTTTCTGAATAATCACTAAGTTTCTTTGTTATTTTTAACTTTTGCAAACATTCATGACCAGCCAAAGAAAAAAGGAAGCACAGAACTTAAAGGATGCTTCTGCGTCTTCTGCCTTAGGATATTTTGAATTCTACAGTTTATCTGTATTCTAGTAATACTGGATTAAAATGTCATTCTCACTGAACTTTCTACATTATTCAAAAATAAGATGGCTTTGAATCCCACTGTTTCTCAGACTTTGTGCTGTGAATACAAAAAGCAGCTCTCCCCACTTCTTTTCAAAGATGTAGCCCCATACCATAGCAAGAAGTGATATTTCTATGACATCTTTAAACCTACTAACCAGGACACAAGAGCCAACATAATTATAAGCAAACAAGAGCTGCCACATGCCAAGATAAAATACATTCTGTAATTAACTTCCCTCAGTTTTTGGTTGCTTTTCTACGGCTCACAACTGGCCATTCTTCCAGTTTAAGCACAAGTTAGTGTTCTTCCATCACATTATCCCTGGAAATTGATATTTTATACGGTGTATCCCATCTCTTGCCACGTATGCCACTGGATTCTTATTCAGTCTATATTTCATGCAGCTATCTCCTGCTGCAAGTTTGCCTTTTCCTGCTCAAAGTTACTGGTTGTTCTTTCTCCTGGTTTAGCTGCACCACTTTTCTTCCTTTCCCAGAGCACTTCTCTGGGCTCTGAACTGCCTCCCAGCCTTCCCCTAGGCCTGCTGTACCACCTGTCCACCACAAGCTCCAGCCTGCTCTAAAGGTTTGAACTCATTTTCAAGTCAAAATAGTATTACAGGAGAATTGTTCTTCCTCCTGGACAGCTTTCATTCCTTCTAGGACACCAAGGAGATTAATCAAGCCAGAAAGGACCATCCTGGGCAGTGCATCTCCAGGGCCAAGCAGCACCTCCACCCAGCACCGCTCCGTGGTGAGGGGACACCCCTACTCACTTAGGAAGGAGTAAATGCCTCAGTAAACCAAATGCTATAGCCCCTTGACAGCTCCTGTGACTATTCAAGGCACAGGGAGATTTGCAAGCTTTCTCTTGGTTCTGTCACAGAAGTGGAAATTGCTCCCACACCTTGGGCTAGCAGCCGAGTCACTGCAGCCTTCCTCTCTTCATCTCCATAATATATTTCAGCAATTTACCTTCACTTTTTCCTTGCTTTTTTCCTGAAGAAAAGCTGTGTTTTGATTTAATTCCTCAAGGAAGAGATACTCTCAGGTCCTAGTAAGATTATCCTAAGAGTGCAAAATTGATCACTGTCTGCTAGAGGTATATTGCCTCCTGTAGAGAAAATATTGTATCATTTAAAGATAGGAAATCTGTCCCGCATCAGTAATTACAAACCAAGATGCAAGGACATGTAATGACTTCTCTCAAATTTGTTCCCTTCAAAAGCTCCCATTTAAGTGATGAGGAATATTGAGGGTAGTATGGCACACAGTGTGAAGCTGGCACTCCTTTGTCACACATGCTTTGAAGCACGGCATTCGGAAATGCTTACTGTGTCCATCAGCTGTTGTGTTTGGACCATCTCTTCCGAAAACAGACATGGCTATCCCTAACTCTGCAGCTCTCTTTCCTTTGTTGGAGGGAATAGAAGTGCTTTTTTTTTTCTTTTGAGTAGTAACTTTGTTTTGCTTTGTGTATATGAAAAGATGTCTAGCTCTTTTCCTGAAAGTTTTCTTCTTTAGGAATCCTAAGGTTTACTCACCTAGTGGGGGTACCTGCTGGGACAATAATGACTTTGGAGGAGCTGCATCATCCAGGTGCCACCAAGAGCCTGAGAGCTGCTCATGCAATGCAAAAAAAAAAAAAAAAAAAAGCAAAAACAGGGAGAACTGTGAATAAAACCAGACTGATGCAGTGATGAGTATTGATTTTTCATACAGTGTGATTTTCAAGAGAGCCATAAAATTCCTTTTGACACTATAGCTGTTAGGAGTTAAATATCAGCACTGAAATTAAAAAAAAAATGGCTGTTCATTATTCTGATAGCACAAGGGGGAAGCAATTTAAACAAAAAAAGAGTAGATTTAGGTTAGATGTTACGAAAAATTATTTTGCTCAGAGAGTGGTAAGGTGCTAGCACAGGCTGCCCAGAGAAGCTATGGATGCTCCATCCCTGGAGGCACCCAAGGCCAAGTTGGATGGGGTCCTCAGCAGCCTGATCCAAGGTTGGCAACCCTGCCTATGCTAGGGGGATTGGAACTAGATGATCTTTAGCTTCTCCTCCAACCTAAGCCATTCTATGATTTTATGATTATTCAGTATATTTTACCTCTACAGCTATTGATTAGTTTTAAAGACAGCCTGTAATCCAAATGAAGGCAAGAGCATTATGGTCAATTCGTGTAGCCATATTGGCAAAGAGTTGCACCAAGTAGTCTGTATGCAATGACTGGCCCAAAACTCCCGACTGCAGTTATGTGCTGCAAAAATACAGGGACAGTGAATGCTCTGGGAAGTGCATTGCACCTTTCAACAGATTCATAGCCCAAGCAAGCAGGCTAGTTGGGTTCCATAATGTAGCTTCTGGTGATCTCTAAATCAGCAGAACATTCCCAAAAAGCAAAACGGAAATGCTATGCATTGAGAAGAAAAATATAGGGCTTCCAATCACAGTAACTGGGGAATGGCTGGCAATAGGTACACAAGATTTTCTGCTACAGGAGGAGGTGGAAAAGTGAGACAAGCTCATTAACCTCAGAGCTGTGACAGGGAAAATGGAATAAGGTTGGTGTTAAGAAGCTGAGGAACTGAACGAAAGCACAAATGAATACAGTCCTGCAGTGTCTGGAGCATGGTGAGGTTTTTTTGCTGGTTTGTAGTACAGAAATAAAGTTTAGTATAGGGACAGTGGAGAATCACCTTGAAAAGAAACTACATGAGTTTGCCAGAGAATAGATAGGATTTGGCCACAAATTCTTGATGGCCACTCTTTGAGGTCTCCCTCAGCAGTCAGTATAGTGTCAGAGCCAATATGAAGCCTGAGATCAACTCCACAACAAGGAATGAAGAAAAAAGAAGAAGATGAATTACTTCATCCCTGTTTGAATATCAACATTACAACCAACAAGCAAAGAGTTTACTAGGGCACCTTAAAGTCATGTAGGTAGGTCAGCTCTTCCTCAGAATCTGCTGCCCAAAACAAGTGATATTATTTTCTTATGGCCACCAAACAAGAAGTGTGCAGCAGTAAGACAAATCAGAAGCAGCCTAAGGGCATATCAAGAAGGTAGAAGTCTCCAAACAGTGCATTTTGCATTTTCAAGTGCATTTTGCTGCATTATGCCTGGGTCCAAGCACCAAAGAAGCTGCTACTTAAAAAAGCAATGGTTCTGTATGGCTCAAAAGCTCCCCAGCAGGAGAGTCTGCATGTGGATTTATTTTCATCCCTCTTCTACAAAAAACAACAGATTACATCAAGAAACCAATCTCACCTGGCAAATGCTTCATTTCAGGGTGATTCAGGGTCCTGTGCTCACCACCAGCCTGGGCAATATGGAGATTGTCTACAACACTGTAACAGCAGCAACATGAATTCTCCTACAACATTGTTAGCTCCAGAGAGTTTCCAGCCTAAGATTAAATCAGCCCACGAAGCCTGATGTTTGGCTTCCATTCACCCCAGGGTGATGGCACTCTGATAGTGACAGTGATTGCAAATGAAGTTTTTACTCTGCCAGTCTCAAGATTGGAATCTGAAATGTATGTTAATGGGCAAAAAGTCTCATTAGCAGAGTTGAGCAGAGCTAGTGTTTATTTCAGAGATAAGCTAATTTTTTTTAACTTTTAATTAAAAATCAGCTGAAAGAATTAAGTGTTTAAAATGCTATTTTTACTCAAGCAAGCATTTATTCTGCTGAAACATTATTTGCTCTAATGATAAAATAAAACATAGTCCCAACTCTAGAAAGGTACAGAGACTCTCATGAGAGCCAGCTGCAAGAGAACACGAAAACAGGAACACAAAATTCTAAAATGTATTTATTTTTTTCCCCTGGAATACTTTACAGAGATTGTCTTCTCATGAAAATATTCAATTGCCTTAGTTGAATGATGCAATGCATAAAAAGAACTGCTTATGCCCACGTTTTCCTATTCTTTTTTAGCTTTGATTACACTGTATTTCTATTTCTATTTCTTTTTTTTTTTGCCAACATGTGTGCACCTATAAACATCTTTCCCTACATAAGATAAAACGGAGACTTCCAAATGAGTTAACGTGATGCTCTGTTTCGTTAGCTGACAAGCCAGGGTTTGCATCTTTAAAGGGTTTATTGTTGTTTTGTCCCATCAGGACCACTAACACAGCAGTTCCCCATGCAGCAGACGCCATTGGGTAACCTGCATGGGGTGTGACATGGAGGGATAGAAACGGGACCTCCACAGCTCCCTGAGTAGAACAAAACCCTTTCTGCTTATTTTGCTGCATTATGTCTGGATCCAAGCACCGAAGAAGCTGCCCAAAGTATTTTCTGTCTAAAACCACCCCTGTCTCTGCCCTCTGGTCACAGACATGGTTGGACTGGAAGACCCTGTTGGTCTTTCTAACCATAACAATTCTATGATTCCTCAGATAGCAAAAGGGCCGTGAGAAGAGCAGCCCTTTTTACCAACCTTTGATGAAAAGGTAAAAACAGGTTAGAAGCACTCTCCAGAGCTACAAAATGCAACGCTGCAGGATTTCTGTTTTTCCCTCCCAAGCATGTTTTCCTCCCAGCATCGTTAAACTGAGTGATGGTAGCTGTGTCTCCTTACAGCAGGCTGTTTCAGCTCTCCCTTTTCTTGTTGTCTCCTTGCAGCCGACTCCAGCGGCAGAGACGAGAAGCCCACGGCGAGGCACACAAGCAGGGCAGGTAGGTGAAGGCCACTGCCTCAGGCTTCCCATGACAGGGTCAGCAAAGCAGGGGGAGCAAAACCATCCAAAGCCAAACAACAATCTAGCACAAACATTCCGACCAGGATTCACGCCATTAGCAGAGTTGAGTGAGGCGTGAAGGAAGCCAAATTCCCTTTGGAGAGCCATGCTTAGATATCGTTTTGCATGGCCCCTTGGCTTCACACAGCAGTGCTGCGTGATTTGTGTCAGGTGTGGGGCAGTATTTAGGTCAGGTATAATCCCCTCCACTCAGGGTCACTGCTGTGGCCACTGGCACTTGCCCAGCATGGCATGGAGCACAGCCATAGTCAGACACCTGACAGTTTGGAGCTGCTCAGACTGACCCAGCTGGTGCAGAATTGCAGCATGCCCTGAAAATCTCCTGCTCCCAGAGCTGCAGAGCCCAGACCCCAGGAGACTTCCACTGTTGCCTCTGGGGGAGGCAACCTTTCATTTTTTTAGAAGCGAAAAGATTGTGACATGCATCACTTCATACTAAAAAGTCCTACAAATTTCTCCCACCTCAGTTTTAAACTGATCTAGCAGAATCACAACAAATCCAACTGTTTTACCTGAAAGATTTTCTGTATTTTTCTGTACTTCAGTAAAGAGTATAAAAACAACAACAAAAAATAATTAAGTTGGAATAATAATAACCTACATTTTACAGCTTCCATCTCCCAAGAGGAAATGCCTTTAAATTTAAACATGCTTTCTGCATGCCTTCTGGTGGAATAGAAGTGTTTTCACCTTTCTATTCTGATTGTATATCCGTCCCTCTTCACCAAGTTGAAAACAGAAAATTTGAAGGGAAAAAAGAAATCTAAGAGAAAAAAAAACATAACAATAACCAATAAAATTAAATCCTCATTCTTTTCATCTAAAATAGAATAAAAAATATTGGTTTTACAAGTTTATCCAAAATAAATAACACCATTCATATCTTCTCACATTTTTACAAAAAAAAATCACAACTCAACCCAAAAATATTTTTTCCACTTCATGCTTATACTCCATACTTTTCTGACTTCATACTTCTATAGGAGTTTTCAAGTTTTTAAAATGAGCCGCTGTAATAAGGACATAGCCAAAAAACTAAGATGAGCAAAAGCGATTCCCAATATCATAGGCATAGTTCAAAAGTGAGAAGTTGAGTTCAGTGGCAGGAAAAATAAAAACCCCTAGAGCCATAAAAAATGGGAATAAAAGTTGAAAGTACAAAAAGTCTCCCAGTAATGCTATTCCTGCAAATATAAAAGGAAACTTTAAAAATAAAAGCTCTATTATACATATATTAATACATTTCTATTAAGTTTAGAAATGTAATTCTAAAAAATATCCTCCTTATGTTTCAGATGAAGTTGTTGTAGGAAGCTGGCAAACGTGACAAAGGCCAGAATGGTCATATGATGGAGTCAGGCATCCATGAAGTATTTGATATATACTCAGGAGATACATGTAAACCTTAGCACTAGATAGTAGTATCATGCAAACAAATCACATATCCATTATAAATAGATTAAAAACTGTGGCGCTGGTTTCTCAGAATCTCATCGTATGTGGAAGACTATCTCTAAGCAAGCTGTTTAAAACAGAAATGTGAAAATGTGAAGAAATCTATTATCAACTACTGTTATTCGGACTTTTGAGTAACAGGATGATAAAACCCATGAAAGAGTTGCTAGTGAAGCTTACAAAGAGTATAAAGCTTAGTGGGGAGGCAAATAACTGTAGGATTGGTTAATCATCCCAAACAATGTTGGCCAGCAGCCTATTTGGGCAACATGCCAAATGCATGTGAGTAAAGGCATGGTCATCAGGTGCATGGTCCCAAAGGGTGAGGGATGCACTTTGGAATGAATAACCCCATGAAATGTATGATGTATAACTGCACTCAAAAGCAGGGAGCAAGGGAGTGTGCTCACCGCCTTGTGTGAAATGGGAGAACCAATGTGCAATCTCTAAAAGCCTAGGAAGGAGAGGGACTTTGCAGTGACCAGATCTCACCCCTAGTAAATACAAGGACCATCTCCCTGCCACAAATGGAAGAAACATTCTCTCCAGCCCCACCTTAAGGAAAGCGGAGCCTTCCTGCTCTGTTGGTTAGAGACAATAATTTTGACCCTAATTTAATCCTAACATTTGTTCTTAGCTGACGTTGCAGTTTTGTTTGGCCCTTTCACCCTCTGCTGACACACCCACAGAGCCCTGCACCTTCCCTTCCCTTGGAGCCTATCTCCTGGCTCTCCATCACGCTGCTCACCCTTCCCTCTGAATGTGTAAGGGAGAAACTGCTGTTCTGAGCATCAGCAACCCAGACTGCTCACAACTGTCCGAGGCTTTGCTAGTGCCCTGGTAATAACATTCCCTTGTCTCAGCTGGGTATAAACATTTCCCAATGAGTGTTTGCAATCCCACAGGTCTTTCCATAGCTCAGAATTATGCCCTCTGTTCACTGTCCAAATAATTCCCTTTCTTCTATGCCAGTGCCTGACAACTGAGGTTCCTAGGCAAACCTTTTGATGTTAAACACTTCTGTGTTATTTTCTTGTACCTTATACCTGTTACTTTACCACTTTTGTTCACCTACTCCTTTCTGGATGCTGACAAATAGGAGGAACTATAGGAACAATTCAATGTTTGGGAAATGAGCTTTTCATCAAGACAGGAAAAATACTCATATATAATCACTGTTAACAGAGAGATTAGAAACTATTTTGGTTTGTAGATTTCCCATTTTAATATAGGGGCAGAGTGCCATGCGAAGAGGTTGAATTAAACAGACTTAAAGCAGAAGAGAGGACCACATTTTAAAGTGTCCTTTGGGATAAGTAACAACTTGAAGAATTCACCAATGGATGTAGGCAACTCATCACCCCTAGAAATTATTAAATTGAGACTGAGCATCTCTGAGAGATACTCTGTAGTCCAGTCTCTGTTAGGAGATTGTTATGTTGGTATCTTGAGGTACCACTGCCTGTGGGCCTCAGTACAGGCATGAGAAGTACAGCACGGTTAAGCAATCTCATTTATGAAGAGTTTTATCACAGGAAAATATTTCCTGTCAAGTTTCTTTGTTGTTCTCTGTCTCTTTGATCTATTGCAGACTCGTCTTCTGCATAGTCAGATAAGCACCTCTTGGAGCGTATCATCTTTTTTTCAGATGAAGAAACAGCAAAATCTTTCCTCTGTTTTTGAGCTCTCTTGCTGCCCTAGCAGCTGTCATGTGGCTGCTCAGAGTGCAGCAAGGCTTCACAGGCATGGCGTAGCTGAGAAGAGCTGCTACAGCTCCCATCCTGGCCAAGGTGCTGGGGAGTCAAACAGTGCTTTTTGCCCTCAGAGATGGCCTTGAAAGAGAAGCAGAGCATCTTCTGCTCAGTGCTCACTGCAGCTCCAACAGCTTTTGCAAGACCATCCCTGGCTCTCTTGTCTTTAATGCTCCTTTTTATCTTTGTTAGAAAACTGGAGCAGGAGCTAATCAGTTTATCCCCAGTTAGGGGATGGCCTGCCTCCTGGCCTGGTTCCCAGCCTGTCTCCATTTTGTTCCTGGGCAACAGCCAGTAGCTTATTTTATATATTTTTTCCCTAATTCCTGGCCTCACATCCTGTCAGAAATCAGTGTCAGAAATCTTGTCTCTTATTTCCTTTTCCTCACTTACCCACACACGTAATTTCTCTAGGACATGTATTTGAATTGTTATATTCAAACTGTGTTGTAAGCACAGGTAATTTTACAAAGACAAAGACTCACAAAGCAAATGTTTTCTCAGTGTGTCAGAACTATCACAGATGCCTAAGTGCTCCATATTGAGCATGGGGGCCATTTTGTAATGACATGCTGCCAAGCACTGCATTCACAAGGCTATGGCTTAATGGGAACATGAACATGAGCTGGTTCTCATTTTTGGACTGGAGTGAAGTGGGTCAATATCTCTCCCATGAACTGTGAAGGGCTCATAGCTGTGTTTCTCTCTTCCTAGTAGTCCTATCCTAAAGCGAAGCCCTGACATCACCAAATCTCCACTGACAAAGTCAGAACAGCTGCTGCGAATAGATGACCATGACTTCAGCATGAGACCAGGTTTTGGAGGTACACAATCTGCATATTTGTTACTGTTCCTATTTTGCACTATCACTTCATTATACTGTAGCTTTAAGTTGGGCCAACAAGCAGAGGGAAGAGCAGAGCCTTTTCTTTCTCTAATTAGTGTTTTTATTGTAAATCCATAGCATGCTTGGGGGGATAGTTGGTGCAGTGAAATGGCCTTCTTCCTTGAAAAATGAACAACTTAGTTGAAGTCATGGAGATATGATTAGAGGCAATGTAATATTCCTGATACTCAATGACACTTTCTTTTGATAAAACCTCCAAACACACTTTGCATGTATTCCTGGATGACGGGGAAATTCTACAGATGTGGCTTCGTGTGGCAATTTGTGTGCATAATCAAATCACATACCAAGTTTGCTGACCTGGCTGTTTCATTTCTAACACCAAAGAAAATATTTCGACTGCTTTGTGCTAATGCTTGCTCACAGTTTTGTGGCTGTGCTGTACAGCAACCAGAGCTTTAAGGGAACAGGATGAAGGGGAACATGCTTTCTTTCAGCCAGTGGATTAGAGAATGATGAAATTTATCTACCCTTTCTGGCTGACAGATGGTCATTCAAATCCAGGATACCATTATATACTCTCATGAAAGTAAGTTTTTTTGCTAAAAGCTCAATATACCAAATACCAACATGTTCAATTAATTTTAAAAGGTTTCAGTTTCACAGCAACCCACTAACGTGAGCATTCTTTATCTTGTCAGTTCTCCTGCACTGTAATTGCCAGAGGTATGTGAGGGGCAAGTCAAAGTCTGGAGGAAAGAAAAAAAAAAAGAAGAAAATCCCAATTATGGGATGTGACCTCAGCTCCATGGCACACACCTGAGTCCTGTATTGTAGTCCTACCCAGCACCTTCCCCTTTCCACAGCCAAGCAGTGAGTGATGTGAAAGCCAAAGATGCAGAGCAGTTTTCAGGGTGGTATTAGCCTGAGAGGCGAGCAGAGAAAGTGATGAAAATTTGGAGTAAATCTCTCACGTGCCCTTAGCTGTACCATCTCTGCTCTCCATGCACATAGGAGCTCTGTGGGCATCTGTATGACAAGCAAAAACCTCGAGCATTAGAGACTTTACTTTTAAATTTTGAAGGGATGTAGAATGTAACAATAAAAAGAGAAAGTTAGTAAGAGGTCATTCTCACTGTTGAATTTTATTGTTATTAGGAGGTTTTTGTTATGAATTCCAATTGCTTCTACTTCTAATTGTTTTACTGTTGTTTTGTTCCAGACTGAACATTTATTTTCTAAGATGCCAAAACTTTATCTCATCAGGTTTATACTTCCTCAACTTTTGTGTTTTGTTGTTTTTTTTCCTAGGCCCTGCAATTCCTGTAGGGGTGGATGTCCAAGTTGAAAGTCTGGACAGCATTTCTGAGGTGGATATGGTAAGTGTCACAGAAGGGCTGAGGCTGGACTGGACTGCTGGAAACCACCTAGTCCTAAACCTGCTGAAAGTAGGGTGAGATAGAGCAGGTTGCTTGGGGCTCTGGCTTTTGGATTTGAATTCCTCCTTGGATGGAGACTCCTGTCTCCTGGGCACTTTGTTTGAAGTGAATCTGCTGGCAATTACTTCTACTGACCTCATCTTTTCATCCTTCTAAATGTCTTAAAGCAAAAGAAAGTTAATCTGACATTTTCTTTTCTCTAAGAAAGACGAAGTGATAGAACACTGCCAAAACTGCCCCAAAGGATTCAGGTTGTTACATTTTCTTGAGAAGTGATAGCATGTAAAAGCTCTGAGGAGACCAATTACTGTGTTAGGCTTAGGGTGCTCTGATATATTGCTGATAAGATTTCACTTTGGCCATTCTCTGAAGTGATCAGGGGAGAGGTTGGTCCCAGCCAGAATCTGTCCTGAGAACTACCCTGGTGAGAGCATACTTGTCATGTGGCAGCAACACCATGAGAACAGAAATACCCGACATTTCAATGTCCCTTCACTTCAGAGGAAGGCTTAACCCTTTCAGTGAGCTTCCCATCTCACTGGGAAGTGTGTTGTTGTAAGAAAGCAAGAGTTTTCAGAGGATAGAAGTTTCCTCAGAGCCCACTTTTGGCTCAGCATCAGTTGTGCCACCCCTACTGTGTGGTGTAAGGCTTTGTGAGTCCATCCTGAACCTTCATGTTGATGCTGAAGTAGTATTTCAGGAGCACACAGGTCCAGTGCTGCCACTCTGCACAGGCTGATTTCATTACTGAGTCTCTGTCCTTCTTATGCTACCATATAATTGGTAAGGTGGAAACAGTTTTCAAATGTTGTTTAAGCGCTCTGGATTCTGCTGGAGGGCTTTCATCATCACAAAACGCTGCTGAAAGTAAGGCATGATCTCTGCATGAGATTTTCCATGGGAATATTTTACATGCAGGCGTGACACAACAGCCCACACCAAAGAGCAGGAGCACAGGAGGAGAATGGGAGATAGCCCTGTAACCAACTTGCCCTGTTAAAGCATTTCGAGGATCTCTAAGCAGCTATGCTTTAGCTTTGGAAGAAAAAAAATCACACCCCATTTATAAAATATTTTCAGAACTGTTCTGCTGCTCCAGCAAATGCATTGAACAGCTCTGAAGCTTTCACAGAAAGCTCAGACATCTCTGTACTCTTACGAGCACCCACCTCACCTCCTCCTTGGTTAAGTGAGGAGCACAGTTGTATGGCAGCACAATTGGTGCAGGACAGCTGCTTTGGGTGCATGTTTCAGCTGTTCCAGTGCCTCACTACCCTCATGGTAAATAACCTTTTCCTAATATTTAATCTAAATCCACTCTCTTAGTTTAAAACCTTTAACCCTTGTCCTATACCATGCTCACTGATATCTACCTGGACATCAAATTGTTGGCCATAACTCTCTGAGTGCCATTATCAGCCAATTCTTTATCCACTGAAGTTGTCCATCTGTCAAATCCATGTCTCTTCAGTGTGCAGATAAGGTTCTTGTGTGGGACAGTGTCAAATGCCTTGCACAAGTACAGGTGTTAGATAAACTTCCCTTAGATTAAGGGCAATGTATTATGTTACATTCTAAGATATCGTGCTTATAAAAACTTGTGCATGCATTTTTCATCAGATACATGATCAATTTATTTGAAATAAGTAAAAAGACAAACCCAAGCAGATGCCCTACTGGGATCAGACTCAAAATACAATTGAGTGAAGAGTATGATCATACCTTACATCTAGAATGCACAGTATGTGGGCAGAATCATAGAATCATAGAATTGCTCAGGTTGGAAAAGACCTTAAAGATCACCAAGTCCAACCACAACCTAACCATACTACCCTAACTCTAACAACCCTCTGCTCATGTGCCTGAGCACCACATCCAGACTGTTTTTAAGCACATCCAGGGGTGGTGACTGAGCCACCTCCCTGGGGAGCCTAAGAGCCAAATAAAACATTTCATTCGAATACTGAGCATCTCATTTGCTATGCTGGAGGAAGAATTCTCTCTGTAGCACTTCTCTAGCTGTCCAGAATAAGAACATTGCTATAGCAGCTGCTGGAGCAGTTGTTCTCAACTCCAGAAATGCAGCATTGTAGGGATGGCGGGTTAAATTGTTGGTAGTGCTCATTGCTGACAGCTGCCTCTGTGAATCTCCCTTTTGGTCCCTGGAGTGACTCACATGCACCAAAATGAAAATGTTTGATTTCAGAGATAAATTTGCCTCTGGATGAATGGTGTCTGATTTCCGAACACATTAACTCATGTTCCCTGCCATCTTAGAGAGTGGATGTGCCCTCGTGAACAGTGCTTTGTAAGGTGCAGTTTGCACTGGAGAAGAGAAATCATTGCTACGCTGATAAGGCATAGGTTGTGACACAAAGCTTTTTGTTGCAGGACTTCACCATGACACTTTATCTGAGGCACTACTGGAAAGATGAGAGATTGTCCTTCCCCAGCACCAACAACCAAAGCATGACATTTGACGGCAGGCTGGTGAAGAAGATCTGGGTCCCTGACATGTTCTTTGTCCACTCCAAACGTTCCTTCATCCATGACACCACCACTGACAATGTCATGCTGCGGGTCCAGCCAGATGGGAAGGTACTTTATAGCCTCAGGTAAAAGTGCATTTGGTCAGTGTGAGCCATTAGTGGTATGAGAGAGAGAGCGGTTTAATTGATTCCTGTATTTCATTTCCACATGACTTCACAATAAAAAAAATTAAAAATGTGAATGCATTGACTAGCCATTTACATCATGAGGAAGAGGCTCTTCCTTTATCATAAGAAAAATGCTCATATGTTCAGGGAGAACAGCTGGGGGGTATTGGGTAAGTGGAGCGAGAAGTAGGACTGGAGCTTAATTCCTAGGAAGATTGTGTCCCATCCCTTCCCTTCCCCTTCCCTCTTTTCCATAGCAGTGATCTCAAGTTTCAAATGTAAATCAGATGCCTCACCAAGGAGTTGAACATTATTGACCAACAGACTGAAGATTATTAAAACTTCTTCCTAACTGCTGCTTTCACATGTGGAGATGCTAATTCGGGAGCATCTGTCACTCTCCAAAAGAAACTAATATCAGTGCTGCTTCTTCATGCCTGCAGCTCCATTCAGTTACAAAACAAGTGTTGCCAAATGACCCATAAAAACCTATGAGAGAGGAAATTGCTGTACAATATTCTGATGCAAGAATGTCAACATCAGCTCCATAGCAATGAAATAGCAAAACATGCGATAAATAAGCCAAACAGCAGATAGATAATATGTTCTGAAGGACAAAAAGAAGGAAAATCTGACTGCAGGAGGTCAGTAGCACCAAGAAGCATAGATTTAACTTTAACTAATGATAAGGCTGCAGAACATGTGGCTTGGGATGATTGTGGAGGTCTCTGAGGGCACATTAATAACCTCCAGGAGTGGTGGAGGTAGGGCTGAGTTCTACTCCTCAGCCTGACAAAGTATTTTTCCTTTTATAAAAGGAAACAGTACAAAAAAAGTAAGGCACAAAGTCCTTTGTGGTAGCTGTTTGACAGGAATTTTCTTGTTTCTCTGATATTTTTATACTGTTTGTTGGGATTCACAGCCTGGATAGTGCTAATCTTATTGTTACTTAAGTTTTTTGTTTCTTCCAGTGTATTAAACATGGTTCAGGTGTTCTTCATGTCTTTGAAAAGTTTGCTCAGACCCTTAGCACAATAACAAAATGACAATAGAATGACATAAAACTCAACTACAGCTACATGCTACACATGATCTACACTGCAAGTATTTTGGCTATTTAACAATGATGGGGAAGGAATATCAAACTACACAGGTGCTGCCATATACATACTTACGTTTAACAGGCTACTTTCAACTGGCCTTCATGAAATGGTAGTGAATATCTCGAATAACAGGGTGACAGTTCTTCAGTATTTTATTTATTGGTGACTGCGGGCCGAAGTACTTTATGGTTGGAAGAGAAATATGAATACTTAAAAACAAAGATGTCTTTGCTAACTGAAAGCCTTTTCTGAATGCCTTTGCCTGTACATTTTATTTTTTTCCTTGGTGTCTGCCTTTTTAAAACTCTTACCAAACATCTTCTCTTTTCTTGGAAAGCTCTCTAAACCTCGCTGGCACCTAAGCAGTAAATCTGAGCCAAGCAGCTTCACTCTAAGATAAAATCTGGATAGGGAAGCAACATGAACCCAGACATGCATAAGGAGTACTAACATAAGAGACTGCATCTTGATTTTATCATTATGTGACAGTTGTCTGTCGAGCTTTAATCCGGTTATTATTCATTAATTCTTTCCCCACTGCAGTTTATGTTTTTATATTCATTTACTTCCCTAGAGTTCAAGCTAGTGGAGTAAAGACTTACAGATCCTTCCAGTGCAAACACAGATTTCTGCTATTAAAATTGACATAATCAGACTACATTGGGATCGGGGTTTTTGATAGGTGAGGTGGAGCATTTCAGTGGTCTTGGATGTGCATCAGCTCCAGCCCTGACTGGAGGTGAGCCCTCTGCTGGCTGACACCCATGGGCGATCACCGGGCTTTCACTGAGCAGATGGAGGTCATGGTGCATGGAGAAAACTGCCTGCATCCTGCACGGCACTGGGCTTTGACAAACCCAAATTACTCCACTGTGCAAAGAAGCTGTTGAAAGCACAGATCTCTGTAGAGATCTGATGGCAAAAGGGAAAAAGTGTCCTCTCTCTGTCCTTCCCCGTTTTCAGTACTTGTGTCGCTTGGTAGCAATTTATTATGGCCAAACTCTCTAGCCCCCTTTTTAACACTGGTTTGCTGTGAAGAAAAAATAGCTCTAACTTCACTGGAATGTCTTTAGCTAGATGGAAGGTATTTATTTCCAGTGACCAAGTAGTCACTCAAAGTCATCTTGCAGCTTTACTATTTTCCAGTCACACAAAGCCGTTTTTAATGAGGTGGTTTTTATTGTTCCCAGGGTTACAGTAACAGCGATGTGCAACATGGATTTTAGTCGCTTTCCCCTGGACACACAGACGTGCTCCCTGGAGATTGAAAGCTGTAAGTAAGCAGAGCCATAGGGAAGCTGAGTGCTGCACCCTGTGGGGACCTGAATGGTGTTTAATTATATCCAGCAGCAACTGCTACATTCATGAGGGCTCCAACTATAGCCAGAGAACTTCAACACTGAGAAAAATTCTCTGCCTGTAATTTTTATCTAGAATTAGATGGTGTGTACAACAAGGCAGTGTTTGCAAATGCCAGCTGTGAGTGCTGTTTTGCCAGTGTCCCCACAATCCAGCTGGGCTGCTCTGCTGCAGTCCTATCCCCAGAAGGCACTGGGTTACTTGCCCGCAGGTTGCAGGTGTGTAGCAGCATCCACTTCCCCAGCACCACAGCTCTTAACACAGAAACAAATGGCTCTGTGCCCTTCCCATGCACATCTGCTCATCTGTGGTTTAGGAACCACAATGGAGCCGCCAAGCCGATCACCTTCCCTTGGTGTTTCTTACATCTGTGAGTGACAAACCCAGCTTACATAGAACTGCTTTTTCCCAGGTGTGGTTTACATAAAATAGTCCTGCATTTTTACAACTACATTTCAAACTTCTAGCTTTTTAAGAGTTGTTTCTTCTCCTTCTTAAGTCTGAAATACACAATTATAATCTTAGTTATATTTGAATAAAGTTATTACAGAATATTTTTTCCTCTCTGTCTGGGAAAGGCTATTATTAAAGCCCATCTGAAAGGATCAACATTACTATATTTCCATATGCATTAAAAAAACAAGACCTGTAATGTTCATATATACATTATAGACAGAAGGTTTACTCAAGAGTTTGTCCTTCTGCACACCTCAGACCACTGATAATAGCTTGTTCCTCCTGTTACCCTCTTTCCTCTTCTTTCCTTTGCTTCTGATTTTAGAATGGTACAATTTCTGACGTGGTGGGTAACCTGATATACTGATTATATCTGATTATATGTGTGAAATGAAGGTAGGAGAAACTAAAATATTTACAAAATGCATCATCAGGACTGAGCACTGCGATGATGAGCCTGTCCATTTTTTGCTGCAGCCATACTCACCAATGCTGCAGATTCCAGTCAAACAGTGGCACTGTCCCTTTCAGCTGAAGCTCATAGGTAGCCTTGGAAGAGTGTGTGAACACAACTTAGGCTATAGTAGCTGGCTCGCTGCACTGCACTGAGGCTTGCTCTGCTTCCCTAGATGCTTACACAGAAGATGACCTCATGCTCTACTGGAAGAATGGAAATGATTCCCTAAAAACAGATGAGAGGATATCGCTGTCCCAGTTCCTGATACAGGAGTTCCACACTACCACAAAACTTGCCTTTTATAGCAGCACAGGTGGGTACTAGAATCCCTAGCAGAGGCCAGGGGAAAGAGCTGCAGACTTATGTTCTTGGTCACTCCATCTTTAGACTTCCATCATTAGATTAGACAGTCTGGAAAGACAATATCTCTTCAAGAGCACACCAAACTTTAATGTGAATTACAACCCCTGAATGTACAGCTTGTATTATCTTCTCTGGAAGATGTGATCCTGAGAGGTGTTGTGAGTATGATAGTTGGTTCAGTAAGGAGCCTCTTCTGTAAACTGCAATGATATGTGATTAATTTTTTTCCTAAAAGCAAATATGGTGCTATTCCCATTGATATAATACCTTATCTGAAAGTAGTTTGGTGGTGGTGTGACTTCTCTTTTTCCTTCTCCCTATTCCACAGGATGGTACAATCGCCTCTACATCAACTTCACCTTGCGTCGACACATCTTCTTCTTCTTGCTCCAAACCTATTTCCCCGCCACTCTCATGGTTATGCTGTCCTGGGTGTCCTTCTGGATTGACCGTCGAGCAGTTCCTGCCAGAGTCCCTTTAGGTAAAAACAATATTGTAGTCAGCACACTTGAAGGCCAGTTGTACGCAATGATGGTTTTGACCACCAAGACAAAATCACCGGTGCTATGCACTGCCTCTGTGTTGTCCCTTCATTGCCTGATGGCACAGAAATCAGCTGTGACACACATTCTCCCTGTGCTGAGGTCTTACTCTCATCTCTCTCTCCATTTGCCCTGCAGTGCCAAGTGAACTGCCTTTCCTGTTCTGACAAGTGCTAGTTGTATATGTTGCAAATCAGGGAGCAAATGTCAAGCTCTGCTTCTATTGCTGCTAACAGATGCATTGGACATAGAGAAATGAAGTACCAGTATCCTTCAAAGACTTCAGTGAGTAAGAAGGTGGAAAACATTACAGAACAGCTGTGACAACATTTCACTTTATTGAGCTTTTCTAGCACAGAGTGTGTGAAGGTAAAACAGCAAGCCAACCTTACTTGTTCAACTTGTTAAACTAGATTACAGTGTAGTGTGAGGGATACAGCATCCCCTTCTGAAACACGTTTCAGGCAGATGAAGCCTGTGCCAGAGAAATCACCATGGGAGCACAATTATGTTGTTGACGTAAACATTCTGAAGAAGATTATTTGCCCTTTGCAAAATGCCATTTGTATATTTGCAGACTTGAAGACCAGGTTTGCTTCCATTTGTTCCAGGGAACACATCTCAGAGTTTTATTTATTGTAAAAATTATGTTCATAGTTGGAGAGGAAATATTAATAACAGATACAGCAACAGGCCACATGTCTGCTTAGAATTACCATCCATTGCCATGAATCATAATTCAGCAGGAACTAAATGTTTTGTGCCATGGCTTTTTGAGACAAAGGCACTGAGTTTAGGAGAACTTTTCTGAATGCTCCTGTAAATTCAGTCCTTTATGGTTATTCATCATATAAACATAGAAACATAAAATTGTGGAGTCATATAATCATAGAATGGATTGGATTGGAAGGATCTTATAATTTAGCTCCACCCCTTCACCTTTCTGAGCAGAGCTGCCACCCACCAGATCAGTCTGCCCAGAGTCCCATTCAACCTGACTTTGAACCCTTCCAGGGATGGTGCATCCACAGTTTCTCCAGGCAACTTGTTCTTGTGCTTCATTTCCCCAGAGAGGAATTCTTACACTCTAAGAGTTTCATTCTAATATCTAATCTGAATGTACCCTCTTTTAGTTAAAACTCTTCCCTCTTGCTCTGTCACTATCAGACCACGAAAAAGGCCATCGCAGTCTTTCCTGTAGGCCTCCTCTAGGTACTGGAAGGCCACTTTAAGGTCTCCTTGGAGCTCTCTCTTCTCCAGGCTGAACAATCCCAACTCTCTCAGCCTCTGTTCACAAGAGAGGAGCTCCTGTCTTCTGGTCATCCTTGTGGCCTTTCTCTGGACTCACTCTAACAGCTCCATGTCCTTCCAATGCTGAGGACATCCAAAGCTGTACACTTTACTCCAGATGGAGTCTCATGAGAGTGTAGTAGAGAGAACCCCCTCCCTTGGTGTGCTTGATGTGCTCTTTTGATGCAGCCCAGTATTACCGTTGGCTTTCTGGGTTGCGAACACACTGTCATGAATAGATTTTTGCGTAGGTTTGATTTATTAGCAATTTAGGACTTATTAATATTTTTATATAAATCACAAGTTAGATCGTATGATCCTTGACATCACTTTATCCATACTTTATCGTCAGCCAGTTTAAAACCATCATTCAACAGACATTGCTACAATTGAAAGTGTGACTTGGTTAAAGATTCAAGAATAGCGTGGGTGATGTGAGGCTTATTGCAGGGTAGTGGGGGGTTCTAAACTCTATTGCACACCCGAAGATTTCCCCCTTGGAGAACTACTCACCCTTCTTTCTCACTGGTTTTTGTCAGTGAATGAGCTTCAATCCTGGAGGGGTCTGTCCTAAGAGGTATCCCAGCTCAGAGGGACATTAAGTATCACAGTCCAGTGTGACCCTGGAGAGCTCAAGGGGCTCTTTGCTTAGGACCTCTATTTATAGGTCCACAAGTTGACTGTCTTCATTCAGTGACATTCCATTCTGGACACAAGGCAGCTGAGATAATTCTGGAACATTCCACCAGCCGAACAATTCCAATCCTTCCCAGACCATCCAGATCTGGTACATTATAGACTGGACTACAATCCAGGCAGCAGGTATTGAGGGTGGCCGATCATTCCATCTTCCTGCTCTTGTAATGAAGGCAGGAGCACAGTGCTGCCTTATCCTGAGATCACAGGCAGGTAGGGGGCTGCACCAACACAATCCACCCCATGGCTGAAGTCAATCGTTCTCTCCTGAGAGTGGTGGTGTGGTCACCTCCTCATGCTAATCACCTGGCATAGGACATGCTCAGGAATGGTGAACAAGTTGGTTTGATTGTAGAGATATTAACATGCAAGAGTGGTTCAGCTCATTTGAGAGACAACAATCCATCATGGTCACCTACAGTCCAAGTTCAGAAATTTGTGGAGATAGAATTTTCTTATCCTTTACAGTAGAAGCAGATGTTGTTGTACTAAATTTAGTAATGCACATTTTTAACGTAAATGATAACTTCCCACTATGGTGAGTCCAGAGGCAAGCTACAAAAAAAAAAAAAAAAAAAAAAAATAGAAAAAAAAAAAGAGAGTTTAAGTTTGATTTAGACTTCACTTCCATGTTCCCATTATACTCAACACAGGCATGGGTTCATAGCCCCTCCCACGCTGTCTGATCACAGGTTAGGAAAAGTAACATTACTAATGTCTGGAATGACATGAACATCACACTTTTGTCACCCTGAGGAGTGCTGGAAGAGAAAATAAAGACTTGTTCTAGTGGGGACATTCCAAAATGGTTACCTACCCCATTAAAAAGTAATAAAATCTATTGTGCACTACTTGTATGTTTTGCATCACTAACTTCTCGTTCCTGGCTGCAATGGTGTTGATTATTTTCTTGATTTATTTGATCAACTACCCAAATGAAAGGTAAAAGGATTTTTGTCTATACAGAGTATCACTGTTCTCTCTTTAAAAGCAGTTACATTGGTTGCACTGCTGCTGCTATCCTCATCCTTTGAGGGGCTGTTCCTCCAGTTGCTGTGTAATATTATGTTGGTGCAATTTCACATCTCTCGGGGGTGAAACTGTTCAAAATTCAGCATGTACAGCACACATGGTTGTGAGGGAAAGAGATAGCTTGCTATTTTTCCAAATCTAATGATTTAAAAAATTCCACCGTGTGTCACTACAGAAATTGAGTGCTGTGGTACGCTAATAATTCTGAATTAGAAAGTACAGGGACTGTGAGAAACACAGGCACTGTAATTATGTGCATGACCCTGTTCTTACCAGGGTCAGAGATTGATGTTTGAGCTGAAGGACCTGGTGCCAAAGTCGGCTGTTTAAAACATTGAAATCAGTAATATTTTTCATGGCAGTTTAAAATTGCAAGCAAATAGTCAACATGTGCTTCTTGTCTGCAAGCAATAAATTGGCCATGGCAGCCTGGCAAATAACATGCACTCCATTCAAACCACTAATTTTAACTCTTTACCATCCAGATCTCATGCTCAGCTTCTTGTCAACTGGTTGTTTTCCTGTTAACATTTGTTCTGCTGTATTTATTAAAAAGACTTCACCAATTTTTCTTGAGGAACAGTTGGAATTAATATATATGCATGTACCCATACACATACATATATAGATACATGTGGAAATAGACTATTATTACTTACTTATGGATAAGCTTTTTCTCCAGCAGGGAGGCCTTATGCATTCTGTGCACAAATTTTTCTTACTTCTGGCCTTCCAATTCCTCCCTAAGCGGGGCAAAGGAGTTTGCTCCTCTCTGGGCCTGGCACCAGGGGAGTTAAAATGTACTCCTTTCCTTCACTGCTACCTCATTTTTGGAATGTCTCAGTTAGACTTCAAATAATACTAGTAAGTAGACAGTGCATCACTGCTCTGGGAATGCCTAGGGTTAATGCTGTTTCTCATAACTCATTTCTCTGTTCTTGAAGTTTTGTTTGCAAAGCTTTAGATTTATTTCCCTTTAACTTAGTTTCTATTCCATGTTTCATGGGTCTCAGTTTATAGTCTCCTCTCCAGGGCCTCAGGGCTGACATGTCATCCCAGCCCATTTCACAGCCATAGTTATCAATACTGTATATTAATTCTGCTCATGCAGGAAATTGAGAGCACTATGAACATTACTGTCTTGTTTTTTGTTACATTCTGTGTCGCATCTGATTTTATTCTGATTTTCAATTAGGTAGAATTTTAGAACTCCTGAGACTCCTCTCATCTGTCATTTTCACACTGTGAAATTTACTGTAGCAAACAATATCCTCACAGTATTCAGTAGAGTGGTGTAAATCATCTTGAGAGTGAGCTCACACAGCATGTTCAGAACAACCAGGGGATCAGGCTCAGCCAGCACAGGTTCCTGAAGGGCAGGTCCTACTTGATCAATATCATCTCCTGCAACCAGGTGATCCGCCTGGTGGTTGAGAGAAAGGCTGTGGATGTAACTTACCTAGACTTTAGCAAAGCCTTTGACTTTGTCTCCCATAGCATTCTCCTACAGAAGTTGGCAGCCCATGGGCTGGACAGGTACACTCTTTGCTGGGTAAAGAACTGGCTGGAAGGCCAGGTTCAGAGAGTGGTGGTGAATGGAGTTAAGACATGAGTGGTGATCTTAAGGGGTTGGTAGAGGGGCCTGTCCTGTTTTATCCTGTATGAGGGCATTAAGTGCACCCTCAGTAAGTTCTCGGGTGACACCAAGTTGGGAGGAAGCATCAATCTGCCTGAGAGAAGGAAGGCTCTTCAGAGGGCTCTGGACAGGCTGGGCTGAGGCCAATTGTATGAGCTTTAACAAGACCAAATGCTGGGTCCTGCACTTTCATCACAGAAACCCCATGCATAGACATAGAGCAGAATGGCTGGAAAGTTGTGTGGAAGAAAAGAATCTGGGTGAGTTAGTTTACAGTTGGCTGAACAGGACCAGGTGGCCAAGAAAGCCAACAGCACCTTGGCAACGTATCAGAAATAGTGCAGCCAGCAGGAGCAGAGTGATTGTCCTTCTGTACTTGGCATTGCAGGGACACCATCTTGAGTACTGTGTTCAGTTTTGGGCCCCTCATTACAAGAAAGACATTGAGATATAGGACTTAGATTAGCAGATATTTCCTTGTTGCTTCCTAAAGCATCTGTGTTCCCTGGCTCTCCTTTGTCAGACAGAAAGAAGTACATCTCTTTGCACTTCTAAAATATGTCATTCCAACTTTCAAGGGAATCATTAACATGCCATAATTAGCCCCTGTGATAGGAGGAGCCTGGATAGCACTAAACTATGGGGGCTCAGCTCTTCCTGGTAGGTTCATAGCACCTACCTGCAGGGTAATGCATGACAGCATTGCCCTGTGGGCCACATTAGTCCCTGAGAGGAAGACACCAAGCATGGGAGCTGACTGGTGACTTCCCATGAAGCAGGACTTTCTGGGGCAGATGGAACACACAAGCCTTGGGGAACCTGGTGGAAGCAGCAGCTGGAGGAGCTGAACAACAAGCTATGATATTTGTGCTTTTCACAGGACTGCCCTCCACCTGGTAGTAGGACACAGGTAGTGCAGGCTCAAAGCTCTGCTGCCTACCATAGGATGGAGGCAGCGGTGTGGTGGACAATCAGAATTAGAGCTGTTCTCAAAGAAAATACAAGAAACCCAAGTAAGAAAGACCTTCCTTGGGCAGTGAAACCCCCCACACCAATGTGAAAAAGTCAGCTTGGATGTCAGGAAATGGTAATTTGTGAGGAAGAGTTTAAGTTGACCAAACCTTACAGGATCACTCTGCTGCTGTGTTCCCAGGGATCACCACCGTGCTGACCATGTCTACGATCATCACTGGGGTGAACGCCTCCATGCCCCGTGTTTCCTACATCAAAGCAGTGGACATCTACCTGTGGGTCAGTTTTGTGTTCGTCTTCCTCTCAGTGCTTGAATATGCAGCAGTGAATTACCTGACCACGGTGCAAGAGAGAAAGGAGAGGAAACTCCGGGATAAGGTGAGTTTTGCTTTCTCCGATACAGTTTTATGCCATTGAGAAAAAGCGGGGCAAGTGTCTAGAAGTGTGCAGAAGTTTAAACCTGCAATGTGTTGCTCTTGGATGCCCTGAGAAAATACAGTGGGGGCAAGAAGACACCTGCAATGAAGCATTCCTGGTTATAAAGATTTGCTACAGATACCCAGCATCTCAGTTAGCCGTTTGTTCTTCAAGATCTGAGGGCATTATATCCCTTCACACATAGCCCTAGACTTATACACAATGGTCTGATTTCCCCCTTTTGTCTTCATTACCTTAAATTGTAACTGCCCAAAATTTCAGCCTAGGCTCTTTTCTTCAAATGGGGCAAACCTGATACACTTCTCCTTGGAGTTCCCCTCTGCCGCCTTCTCTGAATTTCTCAGCTTCTAAGTACAGGTCGCTGTACTGTTTTATTTTTGTCCTGGTACTCATGCTTAAACCAAAGGAACTTTCCCACAGACAGCCTCGCTCTCTCTGTGATTACGTTGTGTCCAGCAGATGCGAAATAACAGAAGCCAAAAGCTGCTGCCCACTCCACTGCCTCGTTGTCCTTTCTATACTCCCACCATCTCACTTCCCCAGGCTTGTCTCCCCTCTGCTTTCATAGGGAGTCAAGGGCTGTCCTTGCATATCTGAACATAACTCCAAAATGCTCTTCCCTTGCCTGTGCCCACAGCTCCCCTGTGCGTGCAGCCTTCCTCAGCCCCGGCCCATGATGATGGACGGCAGCTACAACGACGGTGACGTGAACGAGTTGGGGCACTACGTGTCCGAGAACGGAGACAAGCAGGACAGAATGATGGTGCAGCTGGCACTGGGGTCTGAGAGGGGCTCGGGCAGGAGGAAAAACCAGAGATACGTCAGCATGCGGATCGACACCCACGCCATCGACAAGTACTCCAGGATAATTTTCCCTGGCGCATACATTCTATTTAACTTGATATACTGGTCCATTTTTTCATAAACATACATAACTTCTGTAGTCACAGTGTATTGCGGCAGGATATCAGAGTACTGTCTCATAGGCTAACAAAATGAACATAGAGAATTAATTTGAAGATTGATTTTTTTTCAGGATTTCAATTTATTTTTTACTAGGTGCAACTCATCCGTGGCATAAATAACTGTGCAAATTTCACATTTCAAATAAATATAGGATATACAATCTAAAACTTCATACATATTTAAAGCTGTGCTATGCTCCTTCTTGTGCCTCACAGGCCACTGTAATCTAATTCAATGAGTGACACTAATTGCCAGCTGCTTATATATGGCACAATTTCCATTTCGTGACCCCAAATCCCAGTTCTCTCAGTGTTTGAGCCCATGCCTGCATCTCTGAACTCAGCAGACAGACAGCATTTAGCACCGATAAGTACAAAAGATACGCAAACACTTGTGTGCTTGCAGGATGAGGTCAGAAGCAGCTTTTGCAAAAACAGAATGTCCAATAGTGGGAAACACTTCAGCAAGACTATTGATGGCCAAAGGCGGCTTTCACTGCTCCATGCACACTGTGCTGGCAGTGCTGCACTGACAGATCCAAGTAGCAATACCTTTCACACTTGTGCTGTCTCAATTGCACTTAAAAACAATGAAGTATTTCCAAGCTGTATTGATTAACCTTTTAAAACATAACTTGCAGTGTACATTTACCAAGGAATCCATCAGTCTGAACAAAAGTTGGACTTTCCATGAGGCCAAATCCTCTGGGAAACACAGGACCTCTCCTTGGAGCTGCTTATTTGGGTCAATGGGAGTTTTGCTTGAGTTTCCTAGGAGAGGGAAAAGATTTCTCTACAGAGCAATCCAGTGAAGACAAGTGGATGTCTACAAAAAAGAATACAATCACTGTAGGAGAAGCCACTTCTTGCTGAGACAGCCTCGGTGCTACTGGTTGGTACAGGAGAGCTCTCTGCAGCCTGAATGCCAAGAACTGCTGCAGCTGGTAAAGTCCTGCCCCTGCCAAAGTCTTTGGTGAGTGCAGGCAGTTCCAGAAGAAGCCTGGTCCATCCATTTTTAATGAAAGGCCAGCAGAAAAGTGTTCAGCAGGTGACAAATCAGATGCAGTGACTGCTAATGTAAAATTACCATGCCAAAAGCTTTGGAATGAAGTGGAAAGGAGTTCTGACCGTGAGAGAGACCCAGGTCCAATTGAACAACTCTGCTTCTCCCTGGCACCTCGCAGCCTTCCAGGTCCTCAGAGCAGGCACAGAACCATCCAGGGCAGGACAAGACGACAAGGCTGGCACAGGGGGCACTCAGTACTCACCTCAGTTCCTACTTGACATCACAGCTTCAGAAGAGCAGCCAGCCAGCATAAATTCTGCATCTATTCAGTGCAAAATCTGTAGTGTGTAAGTAGTAAAATATTTCAGGAAATTAGTTCAGAATAGGTCAAATATTACAGGGGCCTTCGAGGTAAAGTAGCACTGAAGCTATCTCAGAAAATCAGTCACTGAGTTGGTCTGCTGCCACATCACCCACAGGCACAGATAGCTGAGGTGTGGCACTAGCAGGACTTTAAGCACGTGCACGCTTTGCACACTACCATGGAATTCTACAGGCACACATTTCAGGTGTTCTACTGAACAACACCATTCCTCACACAGTGGATGCTGTTGTCTTTCACAGGCATAACTGCTCTGAAAATGAGGCTAAAACAGTGGTGTTTCCAGAAGGAACATGAATCTTCCTGTATGAAATCTGCCCTGGACTACATGCATTATACTCGCAGCACAGACATTACAGCTGTTTGAACACTGCTGGCTGCTGCTTCAATTTTGTAGGTAAATAAATATCATGTACAAGTACTCAATGCTTCTTATAACTGCTGTAATCTTGAAATGCAAAATGGACCTGCACTGCCTCTATGTGCCACTGAAACCACAAGAACTACAATTACTGAAAGACAAACTCAGCCACCATGAGATAGCTTTTTTAAGGAGACTTTTCTTCACATACATATAACAGCTTCTTCTTACCATACCATACTTCTGTCCACTGAGGTTTTTTTTTCCCCCCCCCAAAGATTAAAAATATGTATTAAAATGTAACATCTTAACTGGATGAAAGAAAGATCACTGCGGTAGAAGCACCAGGACTGCCTGCACTCCTTTATTCCAAAGGCACCTTTCCTCACAGAGTGCTCCAAGACTTCTTGGGAACTGCTCACACAGGGACACATTTAGATCCTCACTAATGGTAAGAACTCATTTTCTCCCACAGTTCTAGGAACAGCACAGACAGGAGCAGCAGATACTGCAGTAAGCTACCCAGCTTTGTAAGCCTACACAGTGTAATTTGCTTCAGTATTAGAGCATTGTAGGACCATTAACCAGAAAATTAAGGAAGATTTTGGAGATACAAATGGGAGCTGGACTTTCAGATTCCTCAGCTTCCAAGGGAAGACTGGTTTCTAACTCTCCATGAGATTCTGAAAGCTTCCCTCCCATGGTGTCCTAAACAGATTCTGCAACCTCTGCATCTGGATTCACATTGTGAAATGACTTGTGTTCTGTTTTGGAAACTCCAGTGCCTTTTCAGTCTTATGTAAATATGTATATAGATGCATTGTATAAGAACAGGACATGTCATACATGGCCAGTGTTTGCTATTAAGGACTGCAATCATTAAACATACTTCATACACAGTAACTACTTCTCACCTTCCAGTGGTTTGTATCCAAACATCAACGCTCTGCTCCCTCTCATTTCCACTATAAATCAGAGTTTTGGTTTTGGTTCTAGAAATGCTCATCATCAAAACCACAACTCCTTACTTATATAGCACTGTGTTTCCCAAATTCAAATGAGTGATCCCCATGAGTTTATATCCACACAAAAGATCTTTTTGCTCTGGATCTGATCAAGTCAAATACCATCTGACTTTAAAACCCCACAGCACCAGAGAGCCCCAGGATTTTACAGTCACAACTCTGTGACTGTGCACAAGCCTTAAATCTCAGAATCAGAGTAGACAGCATTCCTCCCCTCCCTGAGAATGTTTGGATTTAATAGTTCTCACTTTCTTGCCTAGGGTGTTACTTTACGATACAATTAAGACCATTTTTCAGAGGCAAACCCAAAACCCCCTCTGGGATGGTGCTGTTTTTAGAGGTTGAAGTCTACCACTGGTCTGGGTGGTTCTGGTTAGACAAATTCTGCTTAGGAGAGTGTCCAGGTTAAAAGCTTTGGAGACTGAAGCCTTTAATAGTCTTTAAGGATGTTGCTAAGTTCTGAAAAGGTGAAGGAGCAAAAAAGGAAAATTTCAGTCAGAAACAGCTAGAAAAACAAATAGGCATAAAGAAAAACAAATTCTCTTTTCTAGTAAAAGGATATTCACATAACAATCAAATAACTAGATTTCAGTTTTCTGTCTCTCATGCCTGGCCAAATCATCCTCGATACAGAACAGAGCCCAACTCCCTGCAATCCCTGCAGGATACAGAGAGAGCTCCGGAATCACCTTAATAGGCTTCAGAAATTGCTTACAATACTTCATCTATGTTGATCTATTAGTTCTTGAAGCAGATATCCCTCAGCATAGGTAATTTTCAAATGAGTTTTACCTCCCTCCCATCTTCTCTCAAACCCAAAGCCTTGGTTTACATAAACACTACTTGGTGTTAAATGTGTGTAGCACCACTCCAAGTCACAAAACAACCACATACCAAAACCAATCAGTCATACATAGAGCCCATGCAAAGAGTAACTTCCAGAGCTATTTGTTAGCAAAAGCTTCGCATAAAATCTAGACAGTGACACAGCTACTCGCCTCCAATTAGAAGGACTTGCAATACCTGATTCTTGTAAGAACAGTGCCTCCTCCAAACTAGTTTTATGAGCTTTGAAATATTTTTGCTGAAAACAAAACACAGAGATCAGCGTAACAGTAAATTTCTTACCTTAAATCTCAAACTACTTTTGTTCTGAACCTTTACAACAAACGTTTTGAGATAAACCAGGATCAATTTGCCTGAGGAAACTGAGACTTCCAGGATGCAGATGAAGCCAAACTAACTTGACCCAGCAGTGATGATTGCCCCACTTCAAGCTGATGGCTGGACAGGGACTGCCTGAGTTCCTTCTGGAAAACCCTGCCAATTCTACAAGTCTAACAAGTTTTAATAGTTGAAGCAGCCTGAAAATGGTAAAAACTACTATTAAATATTGTATTTGAAAAGCACTATGCCCCGCAAAAGAACTGCTCACTGGCAGACCAAAATGAAAACTTAGAGTTCAAAACCTCTTGCTCTTGCATAATTATATCAAACTAGGAAAAAAAAAAGCACAGTTTACAAATGAACTCACACAGCATCCCAATATAAATCAGTAGACAAAAAATTCAGTCACAATTGTGATTGATATAAATTCATCTTTAATCAGTACTTTGAGCAGTTTTATTCTCACTCCAGTGATGATTACAACAGAATTAAGATGTGCTTTTATTACTGAGAAGTATAAATGATCTCGGACATGATGCAATGAACAGCCAGCTAGTTGGACAAGTACTGAGAAGCCAATAACTCACATCAGCTTGCACAACAATGTAGTACATTCTTTCCATTGGGATTCTGCCACTCCATCTCAAAAACAGCAATGAAAAACAAGGAATGCAGAGGGAGTAAAAAATTTAACCACTTACTCTGTGTTTTTTTAATTATTTTGGTTTTCTTTTAAAGCAGAAAATTAATTTGGAAATTAATACAATAAAATTCTGATTAGCCTTCTAGAATTTAAGATTTAAGAGACACGTGCTGTTAAAAGCAATGTTTCCAAAATTGTTTTAGGTGCACAGACTTCCTGATTTCTCAGAAGCTTACTACTATGCTTAAGAAAACGTTAGCTAATAAGCTGCTTTTTGCTCAGTCTATCCATCAGCTCAGTAACTTGCATCTGACAAAAATTAGTTCCTCTCCTGTGTATTCACATGATAGTTTAAGGAATCAACTAAAAAAATCAT